TAATTCCATCACTAATTTAGTGCATCAACTCTTTTCCTAAGCATTTAGCAACTAGTTTGTTAACCAGTGATTTACTAAATCACATGAGACCTCTATAACGCTGACCAGTCAAAAAAGCAATCAACTGTGTAAACAATACATCACTGTAGCATCACAAGCTGTAACACATAACTAACAAAACTAATAAGTTTATAGGTGTATGTTGTAGTAAAATTAACTGTCAATGCTTGTAAATGGCTTATTTGTTTTTTTTTATGCATACACAAAGACAATATGTCTTTCAAAATTAGCCTTTATTAGTAGAAATGTTCAATCCTGCTTAACTGATTCGGTCATTTGTTCTATATAGTTTCTATTTACATCATAATTAAGCAACATTTTAATCAAGTGTTTTACTCAGAATGGGTATTATATTAGCAAGCTCAGCCATGCAACAGTTACACAGTTACACAATAGTTGGTGTAAATATTTAGTGATGATAACTACATAAGAACTAGTTTGTATGATGTAGCCTGTTTGAATCTAGTGATGTGTAATCCATATTGATAAGACTTACGTTATACCTAAGCTAAGTTTGAACTTATAATAACTAGTGCAGCTGGCTCCAGGAAGTCAATGCAGCATCACAAGTCTTAGGGGGGCAAACACTATATGAAACAGAACTGCTGTAGGTATTACTTTATTTTCATATGAACACATAAATATATGTTTCAGAGTAAGTAATAATTATGTAGTTCAGAATTAAAGGAAAATATTTGATTATGCTAATCCAACAGATACAATTTGGTCATTAAGTGTAGTTTTACAATTTCAGGTATACTGTTTTTCTGAAATGTATTTATTTTTTTATTTATTTTTTGTTTATCATTGTTAAAGCCAGATATGCATTTATTCTATATTACCTATTTTATTCTTTAATATAAATGGGTCACATGTTGCAAGCTAATGATTGTTCATGCATTATCCACTTAGTAAACACTAACACATTATACACTTTATAACTAGGCTAATTTAGCACCTTCATCCAATTGTGTCCCTATGGTGTCAGGAACACCCCTGAGTTATTAACCAAAGGATAAACCATTCACTGGAAGGCAACATATGAACTCCTAGTTGTTATGTTTCACAAAACAACGTCGTCATATCAAATGTCTCGATAGGTGTAGGGAAATATGTGAGAATGCAACACATTCATATTCACTAAACATGAAGCAATGCAGGGTGCTATCTTTGCTGTTCTTGTTGTTTAGTTCAAACATGTTGCCCACTGGAGCGTCTGTCTTAGTTTGATAGGTGTGAATTCATATCACCCCAGTGAGCCAGTGAGCGTGTTGCTGTTTTTGATCTTTCCTTGCACTCTTTCAGTTCTCTCTCATCCATTCTAATTGGGATTCTTCTCACCTTTGAGCATGGAGCTTTCAAAAACCACGGTAGTCCTACAGAGAGACAAAACAGTTGTGAAATCTCCCAAGTGTCATTGATAAAATTAGTTCTGCTCTTACTAGAAAGCCAACGTGATCAACACTATAGCCTCAATGCTTTTAAAATCAGGTCTATTCAAAGGGTCTTATTGGAGTTTTTGAATGTTTTATCTTCTCTATCATGTATACTTTACATTAGCATACCATATGCTTTTATATGTTGATGATGTTATACGTTACAGATCATTTCAGTAAAGCATGAAACTTGCAGAAATGTAAAACTTGCTTGATACAGGTAACCCTTCCTGCTAAACACAAAGTCTACATCAACAAGTAACATCATTGTTATATAGTAATAGAGTGACAACAGGGAACTTGTGGAGTCAATGAGCCCAATTGCATTCATGTGTGATGATTGTCCCCATAGAAGCCCTTTTTTTTGTAGTGAGAATATTTTATGAGACCTCACTGTATAAAATGACATATTGTGGCCTCTAGGCTTATAGGCATATTGGTTAGGCTGAGACTAAAAAATTTCACTCATGTATTTCATCATCCAAAGCTGAATTAGACAACAGCAGTGGACTGAAGCAGTATGTTTGTACTGCTTCATTGCTTTTTTTGCAGCTGTGACAAATTGAACTTCTCTCTTTGGATTATAGAGTTAAAAATATTTTGATCAACTTTAATAGAGCTGAAACACTTAATAGATTAGTCAGTCAAGAGAAAATGAATCAGCAACTATTTTCATAATCTTTTAAGTAATTTATTTCTTGCAAAAATGTCCTTAGTTCCAGCGTCTCACTTGTGAGGATGTCCCGCTGTTCTTTGTAACTGTAAACTGAATATCTTAACAATATAACAATATGCAGACAGCACCTTGGGGTTTAAGAAGTGACAATTTTCACAATTTCCTGACAGTTTTTTGAATTTACATAATTCATCTATTGTCCACAGATTCATTAAATGAAAATAATTGTTAGTTGTAGCCCTACTCCTTAATAACATAACCGTTATATTAAATACAGGCATTATAGCAAGTTCAAATTCATAGTGTAGTGTAAGAAATGTAAACCAGTGGTTGTCTTGACAGTGGAAAACTTAAAAAGGTATGCAGTAACGTTAAGCATTTGTAATTTGACTCTGGCAAAAATACAAATTATTTTATGCATCAAGAGTGGAACCATAAATTTAACTAGTCTAAGATGTCAAACATATATATTACATCTGTTTAACTTGATTCAAGATGTGACATTTAAGTCGTTTTTAAAAAACGAACATTTGTCGTGGTCAATTTGTCAGTATGCAGGAAAATTAATCCACAATCAGCTTTTTTTTTAATAAATAAAATGCGTTCGTTCCAGCCACTTCAGTGCAAGGATTTACTACTTGCCTCTGCTTTATTTAATTGTAAATTAAATATGTTTTCGTTTTGGACAACCAAGACATTTGAAAATATCATATTGGGCTCACTTTCTTTTGCCATTAATCATTAAAGTTCTCTGGGCATCCAGGTGGTCTAGCGGTTGGGTCACATGCCATGAGGCCACAGCCTCCCAGTTTCGGTCATAGCCACTCTCTCTCCCCATGTTTCTAACTGTATCTCAGCTCAAAATCCCACAAAAAATGTGTAAAAGAAAAACTGTCCTACTAATTGATGTTGAAAATAAACAGTTGCAGCCTGATTATCATGCATGTCCTGATAATCACTGGGTGATTATGAATTTTTTGTTTCGCTATATCTGACAGAATACAGTATGAAAGGACATGAATCTATAAATCCAAAAATAAAGATTTTAGTTAACAGTAAATGTGCTTTAAAAGGGTTTTTGGTAGAATCCTTTGCTAATATCCACCTCCACCTGCCAGCAATCAATCACTGTAATGAATCCCAGAGCTTTTCCAATCATGTCTAGGAAATGACACGCTACTTAACATCCTATTTGGTAACTGGTGAAGGGAAACGCATGCGGACGCCCCTGGTGTAATGTTGGAAAAACCATGGGCGTGAATTTCCTCTCTCTCCGCACCCTCTAAACCAACTGACACTAACTAATTGACTTGCAGCGCAGCTTAATAAAACTAAAAGCAGGAAGAGCCATCTAGCCGACTCATTACATAGGACTAATCCTTTATAGCTAATTAACTTTTTTTCTCTATGTCAGACAAGAATAATTTATAATGCTGTCAAGGTTAGCAATCCCTCTCACTTCACTCCTGCTAGATTTGAAAGAAATATTTCAAAACTGATGTTGGCAGAGAAACATACGATTGAGTCGAATCCACTTCGCCTGTACTGAAGTATTTACGTCGTGAAGGAACATCAAATTGATTCTAGTGTTCCAAAATTCGTAACACATTCCCTCGCAGCAGTCCCCCCCCCCCCCCCGCATCAGAAATACAGCCCCGGTATTTTACAAATAAATGAACAGTGTGCGTAGGTGGGCGGGTGTTCCTGTGTGGGAGATTTTGCACTATAGAGCATATGCCTTTGAACGTTGTGTATTCATGTCTATATTTTTGACTTGTGAAAATCCCACAGATTTGACTCACATGAATGGGCCCGCAGCAGACAGATCTGAATGCTGTTTACTGATGCATGGTGGAGAGCACTGTGCACAACTCTCTCTCAGATATGAAGAGAAAAGAAAAGCCCATGTCTCCATTAAAGATGTCAAACCAAGGCTGTTCATTTCATATTTACTGCTTTTATCAACACACACCAGCAAATTGTAATGCCAGCTGGTTGATTACTCAGCCCACAAAATTAATCTAAATATCACATCAAAACATATTAAAAAAATAATATATCGAAACATTACCTTTTGGTAATTACTACCCAAATGTCTGTGAACATATCAGCCCTATCATGCAGTTACTAACTGATTAAACATTCTTTTTCTTTCAGTTATTTCCTAATTACCTTCAACATAAAACGAGGCTCCTGGTTAACAGAAAAACTATAGATTTATATGGCCATATTCATTTTAATTATTTCAATTTGATGTGGTTTTGTTCTTTTCAAGGTCAGTTTTTTATCTTGCTATGGTTTGTGTATAAAGCAGTGCTTCTTGCAAATGAGAGAGAAATGTTAATATACACAGTACAGTTATATTATTTTGTTGGATTTTTGCCTTCATTGGATGGATGATAGCAGAGGGCTAAACTTGGGGAGAGAGGGTATGGCATGCAACAAAGGTCCACAGATGAAATCAAACCGGGGCCCATGTGGTACATGCACTAACTATTAGGCTTCTGGGTTGCCCAAATTATATTTTTAAAACAGTTATTATAGTAACACAAAAATTTCAAAATGAGATCTAAATTGAGAAGAAATACAAATTTCCCTTAAGTACTTAATTGCACAATAATAAGTTGCAAAAAGTAAGTTTTAGGAGTATTTTAGTATTTCTAAAAATGTTACTCAATGGTCAGAAAACATTGCTTCTGAAGTCATCCTGAGACATGCACCAATTTGCTTCCTTAAATGATGCAAATGCAAATAGAACAATTTTCCAAACAGTGCCACTTTTAATGTACACAGTGCTTACTGAGTTCGTTCTCTCTCTTTTCTTTTAGGCCATGGAACTAAAGGCGTGTTTGAGCTGCTGGCAGGCTGGAGGAGAACAAGGGAAAACCTCCCTTTCAAGGAGCGTGTGGCGGATGCTTTTGCTGACGTGATGGTGTGCTACACCATGACCAGCTCACTCTACATTATCACCTTTGGCATGGGAGCTAGCCCTTTTACCAACATCGAGTCTGTGAAAATTTTCTGCCAGAGCATGTGTGTTGCCATCCTGGTCAACTACTTCTATGTTTTCTCTTTCTACGGCTCCTGCCTGGTGTTTGCTGGACAGCTAGAGCAGAACCGCTACCACAGTGTTTTCTGTTGTAAAATCCCCTCAGTGGAGTACCTGGACCGCCAGCCCACATGGTTTAAAACCATGATGAGTGATGGCCATGACTTGTCCACGCACCACGACAGCGTCCCCTACCAGAATCACTTCATCCAGCACTTCCTGCGCGAGCACTATACAGAATGGATTACCAACACCTATGTCAAACCCTTCGTAGTCATTCTGTATCTCATCTACGCCTCATTCTCATTCATGGGATGTTTACAAATCAGTGATGGATCAAATATTGTGAACCTGCTGGCTAGTAACTCTCCAAGTGTTTCATACGCTCTGACCCAGCAGAAATACTTCAGTAACTACAGTCCCGTGATTGGGTTTTACATTTACGAGCCCATTGAATACTGGAACTCCACGGTGCAGGAGCACCTGAAGACTCTGAGTCATGGCTTCAACAAGATCTCCTGGATGGACAACTTTTTCCACTACCTGCGGGTGGTGAATGTGAGTGCGTCAACAAAGAATGACTTCATCACCATCCTCAAGGGCTCCTTCCTGCGTAGCCCGGAGTACCAGCACTTCACTGAGGACATCATATTCTCCAAGAACCGCGAGACTGATGAGTACGATATTATTGCCTCACGGATGTACTTGGTGGCACGGACGACAGAGAAGAAGCGCGAAGAAGTGGTGGAGCTTCTGGAAAAGCTTCGTCCGTTGATGCTGATCAACAGCATCAAGTTCATTGCCTTCAACCCTACGTTTGTGTTCTTGGACCGCTACAGCTCCTCTGTCATCTCGCCCATCCTGACCTCAGGATTCAGCGTACTCACAATCCTCATCCTCACTTTCTTCCTGGTCATCAACCCCTTGGGGAACTTCTGGCTCATCCTTACTGTAACGTCCGTGGAGCTGGGCGTCTTGGGTTTGATGACCCTCTGGAACGTTGGCATGGACAGCATCTCAATCCTGTGCCTTATTTATACCCTCAACTTCGCCATGGATCACTGTGCACCACACCTGTACACTTTTGTGCTAGCCACCGAGCACACTAGGACGCAGTGCATCAAGTTGGCACTGGAGGAGCACGGGGCGGCCATCCTGCAGAACACATCCTGCTTTGTGATCGGGATCATGCCCCTGGTGTTTGTGCCTTCCAATCTGACCTACACACTGTTCAAGTGCTCCCTTCTCACAGCAGGCTGCACCGTGCTGCACTGCTTCGTCATCCTGCCCGTCTTCCTGACCTTCTTCCCGCCATCCAAAAAGAGACACAAGAAAAAGAAACGGGCCAAGCGTAAAGAGCGGGAGAGGGAGAGGGAGCGGGAAAGGGAGAGGGAAAGAGAAAGAGAGGAAATAGAGTGCATCGAAGTCAGGGAGAATCCTGATCATGTGACAAACGTCTGAGTAGTTTGTAATTTTAGCAGTGAATTTCCGTGGGTATCCATCAGTTATTGGTGGATTAGAGGTGTTCTCCAACAGTGAGGTGCCTCTTGAGGTGTGGGGGAGTACAAGATGTCCCCCTGAGGAGTGGGCACTGGTCACTCCCAAACAACAGCAGCTAAGCTGGCCAGAGTAGAGTGCAGCCCCACTGGTCAGTCATTCAGTCCTTCAGTCTGGACAGTGTATCTCATTTGCACAAACTGCAACATGCTCATGGTTCTGAAGCTCTTTCCCAACTATTTGGTATTTAAAAACAAGTTAGTTACCAGAACTTATGCTTGCTAAATCTGTAAGTAAATTCTAAACATACAGTATGTTAGTCCATTTAAATATTAGCAATTCACTGTTCATCTCCTGCAGCCCTTATCTCAAAAGAAGTGAGTAAGGAGCATAGCAGTCTGTTAAGCCAAGGACACTCAGACAGGTTGGTGAAAGTGGTCAGTGTGATCATACAAAAGTGTACAAATTAAAGTGTGCAGGAGATGACTGTGCACGCACCTTACTCCTCACATCTTGATAACAGCAAAAAGAAACGAAACCAAATTCTGTGGAAAGAGAGAAACTGTGGAAAGAAAGCACACCGCATGCTTTTCTGTAACATTAAAATTAGCTGAACAGCTGAACTGGGCAGATGGCATACACTGTGTCCATTATGAAGAATTATCTTGCACATTGCATCATGTGAATAGAACTGCCTAGGTTTATAGTAGCAGAAGGCAAATATTTCTGCTTTATTCCAGAGGTCATATAAGGTCTTAGGCAATGGCAAAAGGAACTGCAGTGGGCTGCAGCGTATGAAGGGGAAGTGTAAGTGACTGTCGTGCAGCAGTATTTAAAAGGCAGTAAGCCTGACTATGACTTAAATAAATCCTAAACTGCTTTTGCACCAGACCAGTAAAACCAAAAGTGAGGAGTGTTTCAAAGTCTAGAAATATTGAACTTTCTAGCAGGTTGATAACAATGAAAAGTTTCTGTGAGAGTTTGAATGTCTCTGTGATCCACTTACAAAAGCTTACCGGCATGGCACTGGTAATGGGGGGGTTCTGAATGTGATTCAAAACTAGCAGTGGTGCCAAATAGTGTACAGTTTTGTTTTTGTTTGACAGATTTCTATAAAAAAGTCTCAGTAAGTTTGAACTTTCATATAAATCAACCATGAATCATGAATTATTCAAGCTAATTTAATGATTGCTATTTAATGTTGTTCAGGTTTGTAAAGCAGATTACGAAGCAGGCTTTAAATTAAACAGTGAGGCACTTTTTGTAAAGTACACTGTCTCTGAGTAATGTGAAAAAATATAGAGAGCCGAAGTCCAAATAGAACTTCCTGGTTTTGTTCCAAAGTAAGAAAATCTCAATTAGGGTTACACTGACATTTGTAATAACTCTCTCTATGCTACCTGTCCAGCACCAACAGATAGACCAAGTTAGTGACTGGTTGGTGAACACAATTGAGAGCCAAGTATGTCCCTCAGGAGTTGGGGGAGACCAAAACAGCGCCAAGAGAAGAGTGAATATTGGACTTGTATTAGTCAGGCGATCAGAAACAACATGCCGTTTCTTTGTATCTACTGGATGTGTGGATTGCTTGCTAACACTTTTGTCGCAACACATCTTTAAGGTGATAATTAGTCAGCATGTTCCGCTGCCGCCAGGTGAACAAAATTAGTTAGTGCTACTTAAATAAACACCTCTCTCCCATGCCTAAGACCATTTTTTTGCTATTAGCAAGTACTGTAATAGTCTCTCAGAAAGGCCAGTTAAAGCCACCCTCAATGAGAGATTCTATTGAGATACGGAAACAAGTGGAGCATCTAGCCTGGAAGTGACATTAAGACTTTGGCTCTCTATTGGGAACATTGCAGAAGTGAAGGTGCAGACCACTACTGCCACCTGTAGGCCTGGAGCTGGTCCATGTAGTAACTGAGTATATTTTGCCCTAATACTTCAAATAACATTCCATCAAAAACTCCACAAATACCCTTCAATATTCAGTCGTAGAAGTCCAAAATGACCGTTGTCTCCCCAGAGGGTAAACAGTATTATCTATGTGTGCCAAGGCCCGATAAGAATCTCTGTTGCAGTCCCTAAACAAACACTCAAGGTCAGCAGCCCTGACAGATACCAATCTCTCACTGACCCCTGGCAGGCAGCTCTTAGCTGGTGGTATGTGATAGAGAGGTCCCATATGTGAGCAGATGTGGCTGATTGCAGACCAGTCTATACCTTCTTAGGGGATTGGGTGGTGCATAAGAGGCTGTCATTGTGGGGACACTGCTGTCTGGTTTCTTTGTGCTGCCACTGCGAAAGTGAACGGCTCTCTCACACAGGACAGTTAACCAGACAGCTGGGGGAAGATTAGAATGTTCATATTGGACCAAGTGACAGTGAGAAATATGGGTTGATGTTTGACAAAGGAGTGTGTAAGGGTTAGAATTGAGTATCAAGCAAGAAACACTAGTTATCAAAAAGGCTATTATAAACCCACTTCTTGTGTAAATTAACAGTGAACAAATGAGACAAAGATGGAAAAGAATCATCTCTTACCTGTCATACCTTACCACAAACACATTTCCTGCTTTTTGTGGTGTTATAAAATAATCTTAAGTGCTGAATTGTCAATGATAAAAACCTTATAACTTTCATCAACCAAACATTGCCCTACTTAGAAATGAGGAGTCCTTGGCAAGCTACTTCCTGCAGCAGCTGCAGTGAACGTCACATTATGTAAAAGCCATGTCATGTATGTATAGCAAGAAGGCATGAAATGTTTGAAACACGGGAAAGAAATGCAAATCTTAAATAATTTACTTCCCAAAATGGACTGTGTTTGCATGGCACTGTATTGTATGTATGCATGTATTTAATTTTTCTGTATGAAGTCTGCGTATTTTTTTATTTTTGCTACGCTGTAGTGACTTATGTTTGTTGTTTCGATGCATATTCTGTAACACCATGTGCTGCAAAAGAGCAAATGAGTCATATCTGTTCCAAAACAAAAGCCAGAGGATATTTCATGTGTAAAATAACTGTAAATTACTTTTTTCTATATTTTCTAAGAAAAAAATATACTATAGAAAGATTTTTAATGACAGAATTTTCTTAAAAAATAATAAAAAAGGGAAAAAAGTTGAACACAGTAGGCCAGTAATAAACAGTGGAATGTTACCAGTATACTAGATCTTATTCCTTGCACACTGCAGTGTCAATGTTTGTGGATGATTCACATTTTTATATGGGAAACTGTGGCCACCATTTTATTGTTTGTTTGTGTATCTTGACTCATTTATATTCTCCACTTTGCCCTCACATTTAAGGAAATCCATCATTACTCAACAGACCTTTTTTAAACAACAGAACAGTCTACCAGGCTTTGTAATGATCACTTTTAACAAAAATGTAGGTTAGAACTTTCCAGAATATAGATGGACTCTCCAGTCTGTCTGAAAGACATCTATTACAGTTAGCTATATGGCAAGTTAAGCTTAGCAGCAAAGATTTTAATATTAAGCATTATTGTTAGCTCATTCCTAAATATAGGCTACTTGGTGTCCTCTTAGTCAACCTGTCATTGTTGCCTTGAAGGCTATTGCTGTTAGCTAGCCACATTCAGCTTTATGCAGTTAGCATATATCAACATTAGAAATTAATATAAATTCTTCTTCTATGGCAACACACAAAGTCTTACCAATTGATTGCTGAAACAGCATGTGATATACAATATTTAAAATTTTCTTTTTTTTTTCTTTTGACGAAAACCTAGCTTAAAGTATGAGCTTGGCATCATTTAACATTTTCCTACTATCAACCAATCCTTTGAAAAGACCAAAACCAGCAATGTGTTAGTCAGTGTTTCAACACTTCAACTTACCTTGTCTGTGGCACTCAGCCCCAAGACCATTGGTTCCCTTTATTAGTGGGCACCAGTGGGAACCAAGAACCAAAACCAGTGGTTCCAACTGAAGAAATATATTGTTTTTAAAAAGGCTAAAAAATGTCCTAAAACAGTTGAGCACTTTAGTATTAAATTTTACTTGAACATGGGAACAGGGGTTTTTATGGCAGCTCTATGGCACATAGGGATTATATCTATCATGCTTTGGAAACAGACATTATTTAGTGATCAGTTTATTGGTGGTTTTAATCTTTTGATGGGATTTGTTGACAGTAAAATTAAAAATTTCCAGCCTTATTATTTAAAGAGCAAACTAGTCTGGTTTGCTTCATAACTAAATTTGACGAGGTACCAGATATTCTTGAACTTGATCCTTTTTGCTATAAAAAGCTAAGCTTTGTATGTTATTCTCTCCATATTTTCCCTTGAGTACATGTCTCTGTGTACAAATATGGTTTGACTCATATGCATTTGTAGCAAAATTAGGCTGTTTGAGTCACATTTATTCATCTGCTTTATCATCATGTAAAGACGAATCATTTGTAAATGCAGCACTTCTTCTCAAAAACAGATCAGTCAATCATACCTTTTCAAGTGTTGCACATTTTCTAATGTTACAAATAAGCTCCGCTGGATCCATTCTGTAAGCTCCTGCTATAGTGTGTTGTAGCCCTCTCTGTCTTCTATAGGGATATCATAACTGAAATGTATTTGATACTGTGACATTATAGCTAAAATATCCATATGACAGATGGGCCTCAAACGGGATGAGGTTGCCTCAGAATCTATTTTTCTCTAAACTAATTAGTACAATATGTGAACATCAAAAAGCAAAGAGTTAAAATAGAAATAAATTTGCTAATATCTTTGGTTGTATTTTAAAAAGTCAATATTTGGGCAGGTAGGTGGATGTACTGTAAGGAGTCCTTTGACCATGCACCAGCACATTTTAAGTCTGGACAACCAGGGACAGCACAATATTTCCACAATACAGGGCAATAAAATTATGCAATCGCCACTGTTTGCTAAATAATCTACATGGCAGATCTCTTTCAACCACAGTCTCAGAGGACAAATAACTGTTTTACTGCAAGTCATCTATCTTTTATGTCAACTAACTGAGCCAAAAAGAGAGGGTCATGTTGCCCCCATTCGTCAAACCCCTTATTAATGGCATCTAGTTCAGAATTTTTCATAACATTTCAACATTGTGCAGAAGGTAACATGCTTAAAAGGAAGTGGGGATATTTTAGTAACTTCAGTCCCATTTGAGTTCAGTTCCTGGTGAAACAAGCAATGTTTGCTTCATACACTGTTAATACTGTAAGTCATAATACAGAAACCTATCTATCTATCTATCTAT